AAAAACACGGTGAGCGTTGGATTACCTGAGCCAGTGGGCGGAGAAAATGAAGCTGTTGCGGACGTGTCAATGGCCTCTGCTCCCTCTCCTTCACTTCCAAGGCGTGCTCCTGCGGCACAGAAACGTCCCGATACCTCTGCAGCAGATTTGCTAAAAGAGCAGTTGGTCCTGCAGAAAGACATTTACGAAAAGAGCCTCCAACATTGCACCCAGCAGGACACAAAGCTGGATGAGCTTTGCTCTGGTGTTCGACGGTTGGGTAGAGCCACTGAAAAGGTTTACGAGCTGAAAAAATAAGAGCTCGAAGAAATTCGCAGGCATAACAGAGCCATGGAAAATTTAACCGCGGCAAAAAACCAAATAAAACAACAAATGTTAAATATAGAAGAAAAAAATTAGAAGAATTTTCCAAAAATATACAATAGAAAAATTTTATTTAAATTAATTTTTGAAAATCTTTTATTTCATGTTTAAAATAGTTAAAACCAGTCTTATCTTCGTATACTTATTAGTGTTCTCGTTATAGATTGTCTAATCTCTGAAGCTGCATCATTAAAAGTGGATGATGAAGGCTCACTATTTTCGTTCTCATAATATGGTTCCAAGTTTTCTGAAACATCATCAACCACGCGATAATGAATACAAATGTTGTGCAACGCTGCTGCAACATTTGCGATTTGACATACCTTCGAAGGCTCGTAATGAAGTTCACGAGCGCCTAGAAGACATCTAAATCTATTTTTTGAAAGACCAATTGTTCTTTCTATAATATTTCTAGCTTTGGCATGTATCTTGTTGTGATGGCTTTCGGAGCTACCAGNATTTACGAAAAGAGCCTCCAACATTGCACCCAGCAGGACACAAAGCTGGATGAGCTTTGCTCTGGTGTTCGACGGTTGGGTAGAGCCACTGAAAAGGTTTACGAGCTGAAAAAATAAGAGCTCGAAGAAATTCGCAGGCATAACAGAGCCATGGAAAATTTAACCGCGGCAAAAAACCAAATAAAACAACAAATGTTAAATATAGAAGAAAAAAATTAGAAGAATTTTCCAAAAATATACAATAGAAAAATTTTATTTAAATTAATTTTTGAAAATCTTTTATTTCATGTTTAAAATAGTTAAAACCAGTCTTATCTTCGTATACTTATTAGTGTTCTCGTTATAGATTGTCTAATCTCTGAAGCTGCATCATTAAAAGTGGATGATGAAGGCTCACTATTTTCGTTCTCATAATATGGTTCCAAGTTTTCTGAAACATCATCAACCACGCGATAATGAATACAAATGTTGTGCAACGCTGCTGCAACATTTGCGATTTGACATACCTTCGAAGGCTCGTAATGAAGTTCACGAGCGCCTAGAAGACATCTAAATCTATTTTTTGAAAGACCAATTGTTCTTTCTATAATATTTCTAGCTTTGGCATGTATCTTGTTGTGATGGCTTTCGGAGCTACCAGGCGGAGGTGAATGGAAAGATGTCATCAACCATGGTTCCAAGGAGTATCCAGCATCCCCTGAAGGTGGAAAAACGATTTTTATAAATTTTCACTTAAATTTTGTTTACCTACCCAAAATCCAGGTGTTACGTTCACCATTTAAGTAGTTCCTCTCAAAGAAACATCTCGCATTGCTGACGTTCATTATATGGGAATCGTGATGGCTTCCTGGGTACTGCGCATTCACATAGCAGATTTTCATTTTGTTATCGCAAATCTGCAAATAATTTAATTAAACCTTGATGCATAACTTGTCTATCAAACTTACTATCATGGCATTGATGCTGTAGTAGCCTTTTCGGTTATAATAGGGGAATTTGTCTTCAGTGGGAGAAATTATTTTAATATGAGTCCCGTCCACACACAACACTACTCCAGGAAACCCTGTTTTTTGGTAAAAGTCCATCTTTGCTTGCCGTTTTTCGTCATCACTTAAGTTAAGGTTTATCCAATGTGGGCAAATATGAGTTTGTAACAACGCCAATACGTCTTTTAAAACGCAGCAAAATGTGGACTGAGCCATCGGTATGTCATAATCCTTGCCCACTCCATGCTGATAGCCTCCCTCCGCGAGAAATCTTAAAACAGAAGATAGCCGATGAACTAGGCTTATGGATGACGAGCAAGAAGGAGCTGCTTTCTCTTCCAAAACACTTAGGACGTACGTAAATGCGGCTTTGTTTAAGCGAAAATTTTGTATGAACCTGCATTAAAGTGCAGTTAGAAATAAAGTAATCATGAACACACTACACTTGCATTACGTCTTGCATTTCGAGAGGATTACTTGCGTCCCTCAAAGTTTTTCTCTGAA